GGCTGGGAACAGGCAGGTGGGAAGACATTGGAAAAATGGTCTAGTCTGCGGGAGCAAAAAACATGAACAGATATAGGGAGGTTGGTTGTGTGTCCCTGAAAAAGGGAAGAGATGGGAAGAGGTGGGAGCCTGGAGCTGGGGTGTGTGACAGGTAGGAGCAGAGTCTCCATCCGGACACCTGAGTGGTGCAGASAGGGTTTTGGGGAGCAGGGGCTGGTTTGCAATGGCCGTTCCTCTGAACCTCTGCCTAACCAGAGTAAGTCTGCGCTAAATCTGTGCCCGTCGCTTAAGCAGAGGCTGCAGCCTGCACCCCACGTGACGAGGAGGAGTCCTGCAAGGGCCCTAGGTTTGCATGAGAATTAAGAGTTAAAAGCAATGTTGTCTTGCATGCCAAAAGCCCGGGCCTCTGCATGAGCAGATTGCTCCAGCTCTGCTGTGCCTCCCCTTTCTGCACCCTTGGGCCTCGCCTGAACTGCATTTTGATGTCCYGTTAGCATTCCCACCAGCAGGATTGGGATCCTGCTTGGGTTAACAGGCGCAAAACCTGAGAGCCACTTGCTGCTTTCTTCATTGCCTTCTTTCATGCTGAGCATCGTGCTTGTCCTGCAGCAGCCAAGGCCAGTCCGGGTGGCCAGGGTACACGTACTGTGAATGCTCTCCGGGGTGACTCATTCGCAGCTACCAATAATGCATTTAATGAGCATTGTGCGACTGAAAGGTGCATTTTAAAAGAAACGATTTTAAAGATTTATTCCAAAAGAAGCAATGATTTTTTTATAGGAAGTTTTTTCTGGCATAAATGGAAAGATACAGAATAAGAATAAAAGATTGTATCCATCCATCAACCTTGTGTCTGAATGTTTTATAGAAATATTTAAATTTTTGCATTTCAGATGTTACATGGACTATTTTGTGGATGTGCTCGTTCTTGCTGAGGCTGATCTTGCAATATTACAGATGTGTTGTGACAGCTCCGAAGCTGAGATCGGACAATAAACTTTACTGAGTACAGGATAGCTTTGTGTAGGATATAATTTTTCTTTTTTCTTTTTTGGTAGGACAAAGATCCAGTTTGGTTTTGAGTTTCAAATCGGTAGAACCGGCATCTCGGGAGCGCAGGTACCTTCCCCATGCGGGTCAGTTGCTTTGCTAGGAGATGAAAAAGCCAGGAGGCTGCTTGGACCTTAAGASGGGAATTTTCTTTCCTTTGTCGTTTCTCCACAGCAGTTTTCCTGTGCTTTTTTGGTGAACCCCCTTGTAAAAACCTGGGGTTCCTCTTGGGCAAAGCAATGTGTGCGGCTTTGCAGGGCCTGGCTCAGGACAGAGTTGGTGAAGTCTGGTCTTTGGTGCTTGAATTACTGCCTGGGTAGGGGACACAGAGGCTTCCCAGCTGGATGGCCGGGACGCAGGTRCAGAACTGCCTTGTTGCTTCCTTGATTTTTATATTCTGCCTTGCTCCATTGGCACGAGCTCCTCCAAGCTGTCCTGCCCTGGGCTTTGCTATAGCCCTACACTGTCCCCAGGGGAATCGAAGCCACTGTGGGCTGCAGAGAGGAGCAACTTTCCATATGGGTTCCTGCTCCTGGGGCCGTGGGGACTGGATTCCCAGTTGGGACACAGATTTACTGCGGAGGGAGGTTCCCTCTACCTGCCCTTTCCAGCGAGCTGAAACAAAAGGAACCTGAGAAACTTGCACGCAAGAGGGAAATGTTTCTGTAGGCCCTTGCGTGGATCCCAAGGGCTTAAACAAATATTGCCATAAGCCTGCGGGGCGGATAAGGCGCACAAGGTGCATGTCCTGCCCGGGGCTGCAGAGCAAGGGCAGAGCTGGGGAAGGACAGGGATGTCCTGTTCCTGGGAACCCCGTGGGGCAGAAGGTCTCCGTGTGGTCAGAGCTGTTCACCTTGGACAAGTCCAGCTCTCTGTGACCCCGCATAGTGCCAAAAAGAACCCCAGGCACCCTGTCCAGAGGTCTTGCAAAGAGCCAGAGGTGGAAATGGGGGCACCTCAGGGACCTGGGGGTCTCTGGGGGTGCGGAGCAGGGAAGGGGCGATGCTCTGGTGAGATCCCAGCCCTCCTGAGTCACCTTCGGAGCCCRCTGACACCGGCGTGGGCAGATCCCGAGTGACAAGGTGTTTGTCAAACCAGTTCCTCCGTGTGCCAGCTCATTGCTCCGGTGCCGCTGCTGGGGCAGGGTCCGCAGGAATGCGGCCGAGCGGCCGAGAGCCACATCCTGCACCCCGGGGCTCTCRGGAAGCAGGACGTCACCATCAGCTCCAAGCCAGGAGCTCCACGTTCATTAGGGATGCCTCGGGATGCCTCATGTGGATGCTCAAGTGACGCCAGGAATTGCTTCCTGGGTCTCTTAGCATCTCTTTGCAAAGTGGGGATGGTATCGACTGTCCCCAGTGTGACTATCTCTGCGTTGTTAAGTGACAGAGCCTTTCAGGAGGTCGGTCTGACGGTTTCCCTGGCTCTCCTGCAGATCCCTGTGCAGCAGTTCTAGCAAAGCAGGAAGCATTTTGACTCCAGCTAAAACGGAGTGGGCGTGTTGAAAAGAATTATTTCAGTTGGATGTTAGGAAAACACGTAGGTGAGCATTTCCTCCTTTCCAACAAGCATTGCAGTGTCTGTAATAACTAGGCCAAGATCTCAGGGTAACATTTGACCTAAGGTGGAGCCAGGCTTGCCAAATAACRTGGCATGTGTTGAAACTCCTGCTCCCAAGTTATTTGGGGTTGAGAGCTCTCGAGGGTGCTGCCATTGCCCGTGCCCAGCGCATGCAGCCCGCGCTGCTCCCTATGGTCCTCACAGCCAAGAATCCAACTTGGAGAGCCCAGGTTCCACTGTAAGGGCCTCACGTCTTCTCTCAATAAGGCTCATCCAAGCGGCTGTTTTATGACCTGGTCAAAATTGCATAGTGCTGGTGTTCTTCTCTCGCTGCAGCTATGGAAAGGCAGCAGTGCTCCCACTTCCAAACGAGCGTGTGAATCTTCCCAAATAACAGCTTTCCCAACCCCATGTGTGGGGCCAGAGCTCATGCTGAGAGAGACCAGCAGCACCAAGCCCCTTCCTAGCCCGGTCTGGTACCTCTGGCCCCGCACACCTGAGCAAACCTGTTACTGGAATTGATTTCCTCGCTCTGTGGAGAGCGAGCTAAGGGAAATTATGCCAGTATCACAACAGCAAATCTGATAAATTAGGGCTTTGGGGTTGATGCTCCATAAAGCAGCCGCTGCAAACCCGGATCTAACATGTTAAATAGGTAATTGACCCATTAGCTGAAAAGATTGAGCTTATATAAGTGGACTCGATGGAAATAAATAAATAAAAAGCCTGCTGCGCCACTTGCTGCACCAGGAAGAAGGCGCGAGGACACAGGAAGCAAAAGGAGGGTGTTTTTCAATTGCTCGTCGGATCCTTTCGAGCAGCGTTGGCAGCCGGGTGCCGCTGCCGCCTGTCGTCAGGCGGCTCTGCCCTTCACTCATTCATGATTTCACTTTGCAGTTTGCAGCGAGCACAAAAAATGTGGGTGTTTAATTCATTACAACATAGATTCCAGTTCAGAAAACAGCCTGAAATGCCTCCTCGTGAAGCTAATTCGGGGCTTGCACATACTCATAATCCTATGGCTTGCATTTTTATGAGCTACCTCTGAGGATCTGGCTTTGGGGATCTGGAGCCAGAATGGATCTGTGTGTTCTTGTGCTGACTAACCCACCTACGCTTCAGCTCTTATTTGCAAGCATATCTTGCATGGTTTGCGCTAGTCTTGACAAAACGACCTGATATTCCTGGAAGCAGCACTTAGGCCGTAGCATTTAGGCCACTGCTTAGCAAAGCGGGGTGCCCCGCTGCAGCTGGGGCCAGGGCTATGCTGATAATCCCACCTCAGGTACTTAAATGCTGCCTTTTTGGTGTGTGCATGCAACGAACTTAAAAAGGGCAGGGAAAGAAAGCATCGTGCAGCCGTTTTGCAGGTGGAGAAGCCAAAGCCCAGCCTGCCAACGCTGTCAAGTCATGGCGATGGCGTAATGGACACGGAGAGGAGCCTGCAGGTCTCCTGGCACCCTCTCCRGTGCTCTAAAACTGATCTTTGTCTCAGATAGGGTGCATCTGGCCACCCGTAATAGGCCTCCCTGCGAGCCATTTGGCATCACAAGAGCAAAGTTGTCCGTGCTCGGATGGTCCATATCCTGCCGCTGTCGGCAGCGGAGTTGCGGTTATTTCCTCTCTCAGGGTTGCTCCATTTCAGATTTTGCAAAAAAAACAGACTATTTCTGAGCTTTTTCGGGGGAGTTGCAGAGTGTGTGTAAAATGCCTGGCAACTTGCACTGCGGTAGGATGGAGTTTAACCCATTTTGCCCGAAAACACCTAGGAAGTAACCAGGGGGACGGCACTGAGGGGCTGATGAGCTGTGGCACAGGGTGATTTGGGGCAGAACCAGCCTGCAACGTGGGACAARCCCCACCAGCCCCTTTCTTGGGGATTTATACCCAATGTGTGGAAGAGGAGGGGAGGTCTCTGGCCCATGGGACTGGGAGCAAAGGCTGGTTCTTGCASGGATGAATCCCGCCTCCCCCAGGCTGTTTTGTCCCCACTTTCACATGGGCGATGAGGTAGTCTTGGGTGGCACGACCTCTCAAAGGCTCCCATCCCCATACTGGCCTTAGGGCCTGTTAACAGATGCCTGCAGAGATGGACCGATAGCCCCAGTTCCCGTCACGACGTTGACTCATTCTGCATCCTCAAGCAAATCACTTCATCCCTTTCCGGCCTCAGTCTCCCCATCCGTTAAGCCAGGTAAGAGCATTGGMTCCCTCCAGGCACTTGCTTAATTGCTTCCAGGTGCAGGTCGCTTCCAACCACAGGTGTTTTCCCTTCAGCAAATCCTCAATCAGGGGTCCTTTTCCCATCTGAAATCCACTACAACTGCCCATGCACCATCACCTTGTCTGGAGGAGAGGAGACAAGGGCTTCCCTGCCTTGCCTCCCAGTCTAGAGAGCTGGACATAGTTTGGATTAGCTAAACATTAAACTATGGTTAGGTGGAAATGAGCACCTGAGGCTTCAGAACGGCATTCCAGAGACACGGCTCAGGGGACACGTGAGGTTTCCATGCGGATCCCCCGGCATGAAAAGGTACCTGGTGTGTGGCAGGGCTGGGATCTGCCCCTCTGTCATGGCCCAACACCAGCAGTTCTGGCTTGCCTGGAAAGAGTGTTCTAAAAATTACCAGCCTTTCCCTAAAGTAGGTGAAATATTTATAAACCCATCCTCTAGAGGAGACCTTTTGCGTAAGCAGCAGCCGCTCTGACTTTAAAAGACACGCAGCGAGCCAGCCGAGGCTTCTTGCCCATCGCAGGGGCAGGGACAGCTTTAATTGCATTTGTCYGGAACAGCTGCACTTATTTACCGGTGCCGAGGCTGCCCGGAGCAGCAGCGGAAAGGCAGAGCTGGGTTTCCAGGGTGCCCTTTCCCTGGACGGGCTGTGCTCCTGGGTGCAGCGGGACCGCAGGGCTCGCCCAGGCGGGCTGAGGGTGCCTGGGGGGGTCACATTTTGGGGGGAGGTTTGGGGAGCAGGAGGCGCGAGGGGTTTCTCATGGGTGCCCCGTGAAGCCGAAGCGGCTCCGCGCTGCTCCGCTCGGTCCCGGGGAGGCTCCGCCTGGCCCGGGAAGGCTCCGCTCGGAACCGGGGAGGCTCCGCCTGGCCCGGGAAGGCTCCGTGCGGCTCCGCCCGGTCCCGGAGAGGTTCTGCCCGGTCCCGGGGAGGCTCCGTGCGGTTCCGCTCGGAACCGGGAAGGTTCCGCGCTCCTCCGCCCGGTCCCGGGGAGGCTCCGGGCGGCTCCGCTCGATCCCGGGGAGGTTCTGCCCGGTCCCGGGGAGGCTCCGGGCGGCTCCGCCCGGTCCCGGGGAGGTTCCGCCCGGCGCGACCCGGCTCGGGGAGGCTCCGCTCCGCCCGGCGCCGGTGCCGGAGGCGGAGCCAGCGCCCGCGCGGCGCCGCGGCCCCCGGAGCCACATCCCGGCCGGGCGGCGCGGGGCCGGGAGCGGAGCGGGGGCCGCAGCGGGCCGGGCTCCCGCCGCCCCACGATGTGGTGGGACGAGCGGGTCTCGGCGCGGTTCCGGAGGAACCTGCAGCCCACGCTCACCTAYTGGAGCGTCTTCTTCAGCTTCGGCCTCTGCATCGCCTTCCTGGGGCCCACGCTGCTGGACCTGCGCTGCCAGACCCAGAGCTCGCTCTCCCAGATCACCTGGGTCTTCTTCTCCCAGCAGTTCTGCCTGCTGCTCGGCAGCTGCCTCGGAGGGGTCTTCAAGAGGACGTAAGGCCGGGCAAACTCATCGCACCCCCTGCCTGGGGTGCTCCCCTGCCTCCCTGCTCTGCCCTGGCTGCTCCCTGCCCGCTGCTCCGGCACCCCCCGTCCTTCCCCGGCTTTGCAGCCCTCCTCCTCCTCCTCCTCCTCCTCCTCCTCTCCTGCCCTGCTTTTTTTTTGCTGTTGTTGCATTTTTTCCTCCCTGCTGTGTGTGTGTTTCTTGGGTCTGACGGCAGAGCGTTGCGGGCTGCTGGAGGAAAGCCCTGCGCACGGTCCTGCCTGCTCCGCGGCCACACTCACCTGAGTGCACGGGCACCAGGACAGGCCGCCGTCCCGCTCCGCTGGCGGCTCCTCCCGTGCTCGCACCGCTGCCCACCAGCTCCCCGGAGCTCCGGGCAGCGGCAGCTGTAGCTGGAGTTCCAGAGCTTCCTGGAAGATGTTTTCCCTAACCCAAGAATTTAGCACAAAAAATATTGCTGAAATCCTGTTTTAATAACCTCGGTGTTGGGCTCTGAGGCACGCGGCTCTGCTGCGGGGCCAGGGAAGAGGCTGCGTCTCCCCTTCGCGCCGGGGACAGGGGCTCTGCAAATCAGGAAGGCGCCCGGGCGCAGCCCAGTGGGGATTTGCTCCGCGTCTCCGCTCCAGGACACGTTTGAAATAAATCACACTGCAAAGGTTGCCAGCCAGGCAGCCGGGGTGATGCGTGGTGACAGCTCTGCCCTCCTCAGTGTCAGCTGGGSATTTACTTTGTCACTGATTCTTCCTGCACTGGTGGAAGGCGTTAGCTCAGTGCGTGTCTCTCCTGTGCGTGTCATATATACATATGTGTGTGTTTAGCAGGTATAGGAGAGGATTTTATAGAAGACCTTGGTTTCTGCAAAATGCCCCTGAAATGTCTGCTAAATTCCTGTCCCATGAATTGGGGAGGATCCCGAGTGGTGCCTGGCGGGGAGGGCGGCTTTAGAGCCCCTGTTCACAAAGCGTCACCTACCCACCGTCCCAGCCAAGATAGGCTCTAGGGTCAAGCCAGGCTTAGTTTCCAGTGACTGTAGGACCTGGACTCTGTTGTTTGCTTTAGGTTAAAATCCAGGTGTTGGTCTGAGCTGTGTGCTCAGGGAAAGCGCTGCTGCTCCCAGATGCTGCTGCGTAGGGGTAGGTGGGACCCGAACCCTCCGCTTCCTCYGTTGAGAGACGTTAACGAACCCCAGGTCGTCGTCTCAGCCCTTTCGCAGCCCTGCTGCAGTCTCGGAGCATGGTGAGGAGAGAACATAACGATGGCAGCCTTTCCTCTGCAACTCACCATGAGTCTGGAGCACTGGAACGGGCTCCAAAATTCCCCATTTACCGGATTTCAAGGAAGAAGAAAGTTTGCCCTTGCGAGTTTCCTCAAGTTGTGCAGAAATGCAGGTGTTGCCTTCACCGTTCCGTGCTGGGGACTCGGATATGCCGGGTGGTCTCTTCCATGGCTTGTGAGGAGGTGCCAGCCCAGGCTGCGGGAAGGTGCTAATGCTCCATGGTTCGTCCCACCACCAGGTTCATACAACAAGGGTGCTGGTTTCTGCTAACTGGTCTTTGGTGCCTGCTCTGCTGCAATTACAACTCTGGGCCAGAAGAACGTGACTTCCGAGGCAGTATCTCAGAATCATTCCTTGGTGGGAGCGGGTTTTAAGAGGAGAGCACCTCGTGCAAACCCCACTCCTGTGCGGGGCCAGGGCGGCAGGAGCCCAGTCAYGCATCGCGTCAGCAGGACGTGGCCAAGGGATGTGTTGGTTTCGCCTTGTCAGGACATGGGTACAGACCCCTCTGAAAGTCCCGGAGCACCTCAGCAAAGATGCTTTTGGAGGAGGTTGGTGGTTCCTAAGAGATCCTGCAGCTGCAGGTGGTTGCAATGGGCAGTGAAGGCCCTGGCAGCCCTGGGTGGGATGTGTCTGTGCCGCTTGCTCTGCGGTGGCTTTGCAGTCCCCTCTTTCTGCCAGGCTCGGTCGCCGAGCTGCTCTGCTGTCTGGTCTCTGCTTCCTTCCTTCCTTCCTTCCTTCCTTCCTTCCTGCCTCTGGGCTTGGCAGCTCCCGGGCAGCGCGGTGCCAACCTGGGCTCTGCCCGCGCGTGGAGCAGCCTCCAGCTCTGCGCGTGGGATGCGACTAACGCGCTGGCTCTGCCGCACCGCGAGCATCCCCGCGGACCCACCGTGAGCGCAGGGAAGCGGCCCTTGGCACCGGGAATGGTCAGTGCTGGCAGAGGAGGAGGCAGCAGCTCCCTCTCCAGGGCTCCCTGTCGTGCAAGGCGGGAGAGGGCTGGGGTGGGTGTCGCAGCTCCCTGGGTGACACGGGGACACCAGCAGCTCCAGCTGCCTCTCCTTGCCAGGAGTTGGGGTTTTCTGCAGCTCTCCTGGTGCAGAGCAAGGTGCAGAGCATCCCCCTTGCACTGCCAGCAGGAGCACACGCTGGAGCCACCTCAATGGGAGCTGCAGCCTTTAGGTGCATCTCTTATTGGTGCCTRTACATCAGATGGGCCTGCATTTGAAAGTGCAAGGCAGAACTGTGGCACAGATGCTGCTCTCGTGGTGRTAATTCCCGCGGCTTTCCTCTCTTCCCCGCCCCAGGTTGGCTCAGTCCTTGTTCGCGCTCTTCGCCTCGTCGCTGGCCATCTCCCTGGTCTTCGCCATCATCCCTCTGTGCCACAACGTGGTGGTGCTGGCTGTGGTTATGGCCGTGGCGGGGCTGGCCATGGGCTGCATCGACACCATCTCCAACATGCAGCTGGTGAAGATCTACCAGAAGGACTCGGCTATTTTCCTGCAGGTGAGCATGGAGCATCCRCCCTGAGGAAGAGGAGGCAGCAGGAACGAGGGCTTGAACAGCTTCCCCGCAGACAGAGGCGGTAAATCCCACCTTTGTGCCCATGTCTCCCGTCTCTTGCAGGCGCTGCATTTCTTCGTGGGCTTCGGGGCGCTGCTGAGCCCGCTCATCGCCGACCCCTTCCTCTCGGACACCAACTGCATCCTCTCCAACAGCACGGCCAACGCGTCCCGCAACCTGCCGCACATCCGCAAGTCGCTGCTCCCGCACCACCCGGGCAACCTGTCCCGCTACGACCTGCCCATGAAGGGCATGGTGGTCACGCACGTGTCCTACGCCTTCTGGATCATGGCCCTCATCAATGTAAGTGCTGCAGACGGAGCAGCCCACGCTGCTGCAGGGCCCGTCCTGCTGCTTGGCTCTGCAACCTCATTTGGGGATGTTTTGGTGTKTTTGGGTTTTCCCAGCCACAGAGAGAGGCGTGAGGGTGGTGGTGCTGGTGGAAAGCAAAGGGTCGTTTTTCCAAGAGTCTGCTTCTGGAGCAGGACGGGTGAATGTAGAGCAGCCCTGTGCCATTCTTGCACCATTCAGTGTGACCGTGGCTGATGTCCTGTCCTTTGGGAAGCCCTTGGGAAGCTGTTCCCACCTTGGAAGCTGTTTTGGAAGTTGTTCCCACCTTCAGGCCAACTCCAGCATCCTGTAGCCGGGGGTTCCACCAGTTACTGACACCYGGAGTCACCGCGTCTTCCTCTGCGGTCAGTCCGGGGAGGAACTTGAGGGCTTGGAAARGACTTGGCAGGAGGAGGATTCGCTTCCTTGTTAGTCCCAGGGAAMCGTGCGCTGCGGGACGGTTGGTGCTGCTGCTTTTGCTCGGGACCCGGGTGCAGAGCCATCCCCGCTGTGCTGGTACCAGCACCATGGGGTGGGCACCGCACCGAGCATGGGCGAGGAGACCCAAAACCAAGGGGCTGCGGCAAGGAAGCCCCACRGTGATCCCTGGGTTGCCCTCCCGTTCCTGTTGTGGCTCTTCCCTGTCCTGGTCACTTGCAATGGAGCTGCTGGAGCCGCCGCGGCCGTTCCCGGCATCCGGAGCCCCGCAGCGTGTCCCGTGTCGACGGGAGCGCTAGGCGCGTGTCCTGCTGCTGCAGCCGGGGCCGAGCGCCGCCCTCCGCGCCCGGGTTGGAGCCACGGGGAATCCGCAGGCTTGGGAATTGCCGGGCTGCTTGTCCAAGTTTTCCAGCTCTCCCCTTGCGAGGCTTTGGACAGATTGCAAATAGGTGTGCATTTGTTCTGTCTTTTGGGGTATTTTTATTTTTATTTTTATTTTTATTTTTAGAGAGAGAAATAGCCCTTTGCGATCAGAAGGGAGCTCCTCCTCACCTGCAGACAGCAGGTTTGGTCAAGTGTAGCCCGTCAGTGCCTCTTATTTTTCCCCCTGTCAACCAAAAGGAGAGTTTTTGGAGCYGTAAGGAGAGTTTTTGGGGTCCCCAGAAGGGTCTGTAGGACCTGCAGCTGTGTAAGTCGAGCCCTTTCCCACTATGGGAGCAGGTTTTCCACTGGGGCTCCTGCTCCGGGAGCAGGTTCCTCCGTGCTGCCGGGTCTGCCTGTTTGCTCATTAACTGAAGGCCCCAGGGCCTCGTTAGCCCCAGGCTGGCGCGAGGAGCTCGGGACCCCACGGTGGGTCTCTGCAGCCGCGCTGGGAAGGGAGGAGAAACCACCTCCAATTACCTCGGAGGCGGCGGATGCTCTGGGAAATGGCCTTTTAATTATAATTATACCAGAGCGGTATCTATTTTAGCAGCTCCCGAGCGAGCTGCCTTAGTTTGAAGTGTTTAATGCCCCATTCCTGGAGCATGGAGAGGAGAGGGTGGTTCAGCCCCATCCTATTCCAAGTAAAGTCCCTGGCAGGTTTTGCTGCTGCCACCAAGTGCTGGTGCCACCAAGTGTCCCCTTGGTCCAGGCAGAACCACATTGTCTTTCCAGGCCCTTGTTCAGGGACCTGACTTGGTTCCATGTTTAAATTAAATAATGCAACCCCAGATACGAGGGTGATCTTGCTCCAGAAATGGCCCTTGTTTTAGGTATAAACACCAGAGGAAGGAGCTGGTGCTCGGCATGCGAAACGCCAGGGAAGGGGATGCAATGAGCAGGATACAGGACTGGAAGCCAAGGCCATCAAGTTGTGTTTTTCTGTCAGAAAAATACAAAAAAAACCCCCAATTTCCATGCTGGCTTTTCAGAAATGTGTGTATTCTGACAGAGACAAAATGATTCATTTTGATTTTCTTGCTTTGTTTAGAGTTGAAATGTCTCTATTTTATTTTGGCGTGCCATGTGTAAAGCTATTAGAATAGTTGTTTCAGTGTTCCTGGAGGGAAATGGTTTTGTTTTAGTGGAATTAAATGGTTCAACATTATCAAAATGAAGTGCTGGGCTGACTCCCAGCCCCAATTTTTCATTCTAAGAGGAAAATTTGTCTTTTTGTCCAGATTTGGAACAAAAAACACATTTTAAAATTCAGTTTCCCACAGAACGGAAATTTCATCACGCAGCCCTTTCCAAGGGGCTGGAAATCAGGAAAATGTTCCTCGGAGAGGGATGTGTTTGTCCGGAAGGTGGTTTCCCACGGGAAGCGCGGCACGCTCCATTGTGCTTAGGTTGCTCAAAAGTAGCCGGGACACAATGGGAGGGAACAACGCGGCGTTCCCGGCGGGAGACCCTCGGGAGGAACCGGGCAGGCCTCCGTGAGCTCAGGGAATGGCCACAGGCTGTCCCATAGTGCAGGTTGCTTATTTTGCATGGGATCTGTGCGTGCAATTGCTGCTCGTTTTGCTCTTTCCCCCCATGCACGATGCTGATGTGACCCTTTCCCCTCTAGTCTAAGAGAACCCCTCTCCCCAAAAGGGCTCCTGCAAAAACACCCCGYGTGCAGGGGCGTTTTGCACGGACCACTCTGGATTTGGGATAGMTCCGAGCTGGTGGTGCTGCACGGGCAGCACCCTTGGGTGCAGGGACATGGGTGCTCCAAGGGCTGCTGTCCTTGTCCCGGCTCCGCGCGTCCCTTGGCTTTGGGACGGGTGCCCGGGCACGTCCAGCTCCTCTCCGTGTGCCCAGCGAGCCGCTTTCGCGGGCGCCGCGGCCCCGTCCACCCCCTGGATTTATGGCCGGCCTCTCCCATGTGCCGGTCATGGAAGACTTTCTCCCAGGCTTTTTGCCAGCAGGACACAGGTCTGGGAGCCCTGGGCAGCTGCTTGTCCTTCATCTTGCTCCATCGGCTTTCCCTGCTTTCCTGGAAGGGTCCCGGTGTCTTAATGAAGTGACAGGGAGCCCGCGGAGAGGTGGGAACCAGAGCCCCACGGCTTGTTTGAAGGCCACATCCATGGTCCTGTCCAGGCCCCATGTGCTCCTTAGGACTGGGAGCTCCACAGTGCCTACCTGTATGGTCAGTCCCTCTGCTTGTGGGTGGTTTTTTATGTGTTTTTTTTTCTTCTTTTCTTTCTCTTTCCTGCAAAATCTGCACTTTAGAAGAATAAAATCTGCTCCCGACCTCCGGAAGGATTAGAACTATCAAGCAAATGCATTTTTCTTCCATGGGACTGAACTAACTGTTCCGATTCCCATTGTTCCCAGAACAATGAAATCCTCGTAAATGAATTCAGTGCAGAGAGGCGGGAGGGGGRAGCAGGGGGGGCGGTTCTCCATACATTTACATGCTGTCCCGAGCCAGCAAAAGGCAGGAAATCGGGAGCTAGAGCTCACACTTGCTCCCGGGGTGCAGCAAACAAGAGCACAGCAGCTGCAGAGGGAGCTGCTGCTTGGGGATGTCCTGGCTCTTTCCCGGGCTTGCTGCAGAATGAGCAGCGCGTGGTGGCAAAGGGCGGTTTCATTTACTTTCCTTGATTTTTTTCTCCAAAAAAGAGCGAGTTKGGGTTTGGAGGCACCGCTGTGTTGTGGGATGGAGCAGGATGGAGCTTGTCCCGGCTCCGCRGAGGCGTCGGGTCCTGCCGGGGGTCCAGGAGCTCGGAGGGCAGGTACCAGCCCGGCCCTAAAGCTACTTTATTTGGTTATTATCACTTTATTCTTTGGCCAGGAGCGGCCAAATATTTTGTATGTGAAGGGCAGGTTGGTGCTTCACGGGGGTTGCATTCAGGTGCCTTCTGTTCCGGTGTCCAAAACGTGAGCGGTACCGGGACCCTCCTGGGACAGGTAGAGCTGGAGGAGATGCCGGAGCCGTGGGGCAGCCCAAAGGGGATCACGGCAGACACCTCGGGTTGGGAGTGATGCTCTCCACGTGGGAATGATGCTCTCCACGTGGGAATGATGCTCTCCACGTGGGAATGATGCTCTCCACGTGGGAATGATGCTCTCCACGTGGGAATGATGCTCTCCACGTGGGAATCTTCTTTTCCTACAAGAAGCCCCCGTGCGCGGGGCCGGTTCCGTGCGCATTGCCAGGCTCCCTCCCGCCGGGGACCAGGGCTGCGTCTGTGTGACACCGGTGACGTATTTACGGTGCCCTCTGTGCCCGCCCAGCTGCCGGTGCCCATCGCCGTGTTCTTCCTGCTCTACAAGGAGCGCATGGTGCCGTGCTGCAACGGGAGCAGCCACCCGCTGCTCTCGGCGGACGAGCTGGCCATGGAAGCGCGCCCGGGCGACAAGGACGAGCTCTCCACCGCGGTGCAGAGGCCCCAGGCGGCGAGAGGTGAGTTTGAGCTCGGGACGCCACCAGAACCAGCTTTGGGAAGGGGTACGGGGCAGGACAAGCTGCGCTCTGAGCTTCTCTGTTGAGAAGTGAAATCCGTCCCCTCTTGACTAAGGTGGGGACTAGCACACTGCCCAAGTGACTAACTCCAGGGTGCCCCAAAAGGTATTTTGGGGCCCAGTTACCCTTGAATTTGATGGGATCACACACCTAAGAATATTGAATTTGATGGGATCACAGACTCAAGAATATTAGTTAGTAACTGGCCACTGGGCTTCCAGGCTGGTTTGCTCCAAAATTAACCTTTGACTCCTAAATTACTTAAGTATATGTGAAAGCCGTGCCCTTGTTTCCTCCTGGCTTTTGGTCAAGAGGTGAGCTGGCTTCTCTGAGCTTAAAAGTCCTAAGGACTCTGCAGAAAGCTGATTTCTTTTTTTTTTTTTTTTTATTAAATCTAAGTATGGAGGTGGTGAGGGGCTGCAGGGGCTTTGTGAGCACACCTCTCGTGTCTAATGGGGTTTTGCTCTAAGAGCATTGCCCAGCAGCATGGAGCTCCCAAAGGGGAAGAGGAGCTCGAACAAGAACCCTAAGCAGAGCAGCGAGCTCGGGGTGGGTGGGTGGGTGAGCTCCCAGCCTGGGGCAGTAGCCCCCTGTGCAAAACCCCTCCTGCCTCTCGATATAGAAGTAGGTCTAGAGGGTCGGGGCTCCGTCCTGCAGCCGAGCGTGGGGCAGATGCGCGCGCTCCAGCTGCCTTTGCTCTGCCTYGTCTCCCACCAGGTCACGAGGACTTGTTTAGCTGCTGCCAAAGCAAAAACTTCCGAGGGGCTTCGTACGCCTACTTCGCGGTGCACATCACCGGGGCGCTGGTTCTCTTCATGACCGATGGCATTGTGGTGAGTTCAGCTGGTCCAGGCTCTGGGCTGAGCAAAGCTGTAGAGCTTCTTTCCCTCTAAAACAGGCCCTTGTGGGGGAAAAAGGATTTTTGTCTTTTCAAGCTAAGTGCTTTGCATGCATTTTACCCAATACTGCTGTTAGTCTTGCCCTTTTGGAGTCTTTCCTCTCTATGTTCTACTTCTGCTGGAAGTTTGTCCCCAGATGCAAATCCTTGGGACTAGGGATCATCCAGGTGAGGCTGCAGGTCCCCACGTGGCTCTCCAGCAATCTGCACGTGCAGCAAGCGCAGGGGACAGGCAAGGTGCAAAGCAGGAGGTCTGCAAAGCGACGTGACCTGCTGTGCTGCTCTCCCCGCAGGGCGAGTACTCGGGCTTCATCTACAGCTACGCCGTGGAAGAGCCTCTCTCCGTGGTGCATAAAGTCGCCGGGTACCTGCCCAGCCTCTTCTGGGGCTTCATCACGCTGGGCAGRCTCATCTCCATCCCCGTGTCCTACCGCATGAAGCCTGCAACCATGGTCTTCATCAATGTGGTGAGGCTATTTTTTTTTGGCGTGTCCTYCTCCTGCTGGTCTCCAAGCTGCTCTCTGGCTTGGATGTGCAGAGGGGCAGCTCCTCTTGTACAACACCCAGGGTTGCTCTTGCAGGGAAATTTATGCCCCTGTTTTCCCTCTTTTGGGGCTGATTCCTCAGTATATTCTCTGCTTAGTATGTAAAATATCTGGTATACCTTAATTTCATTAAATATTCTTGTGAAGAAAGGGGAGGGAATCCTGGATCCAAGCTACTCTATGTGCAAATGCACAAATCCAGAATCAGGCTAAACAGTTAAGAAAAATAATGTGTACTGGTGTTGCAGACAGCATGAGCTCCCTCTGCTGCCACTCTGTGCCATTGCCAACAATTGGTCTTTAATATTTTTGCTTCTGCTTGTTGCTAAAGTGAACTGGAGGGAGAGCGCGTTTGGTGAAGTTCTGTGGGTTCTTCAGCTTTACTCCTCATGTTTTAGGGTTCTGAAGGGGTAGATTCCTTARCTGGTTGAATAAGAGTTTTTCGTGATCAAGACACCTAAACATTAGAGAAGTGGCAGTATTGGTTTGTTTAAAAGCTGAAAAATATTTTTCTGGTTATGGTCTACCTAATCAAATTGAGACATACTAATTATGTAGTTAAAGTCCTGTTAGAAATAATAACCGAATCCTATATTGTTAAGGCAGACAGACTGAGCTTAAGCTAGTTGTTTTGCAGATACTGTGATCACTTTCTCAGTATGGCTTATTTTCCTTTCCACAGTAATTTTTATTTTTAAATAAAACCTTCAACTCTCTTGCAGTCAGCCTTTTACCTCCCTACCGCCTCCGTTTGTGTTTTTCCCAGGTGGGTGTCCTCGTAACCTTCCTCCTCCTCCTGATCTTCTCCTCCAGYGTGGTCTTCCTCTTCGTGGGGACAGCGAGCCTGGGGCTCTTCCTCAGCAGCACCTTCCCCAGCATGCTGGCCTACACCGAGGACATCCTGCAGTACAAAGGTAGGCAGGGACCTGCGGGCACCCGCCTGACCTGCCTCCGTTACACCCAGCAAGCCCCTTCCCTGCTCAGGAATGCCTAGAAAGACAAGATATACTTAGGAAAACTATTAAAATTACCTCTTTTTCCTGGTTTGCAGTCAGAGAAGCAGGCTACCTGCGTCCCAGTTTAGTAGCCCGTACAGGCAGTGATCCAGAGTGGTGCTTAGGTTCCTGCAGCTCATCCGTGGGCCAGCGCTAGGCTTCCTGCGTGCTGACCAGCAGTTCTGCTTTCGAGGCTTACGGGCAGCTTGTTTGAAAGCACAGCCCTGCTCATCAGGGAACTGAAACTCCTTGAGCTTGGCCAGCTGCTGCAGGACATCCCTGCCAGCCTCAGGCTTTGGGACGGTGGTGGAGAAGCATGGAAATCTTTTCAGCAGGACGCATTGGTGCTCATACAGACACAGCGAGCGACAAAACAGGCCAACCTCTTCCTTTTCTTGGCTCAAACGTTTACCTTTCYATATTACCGTGTGTCAGAAGAGTCRTTCTCAGCGCCAGAAGGAAACATCCATTAAGGATTAGCAAATGCTGTAGAGAGAGACAGGAAAGAGCAGTTTAAAAGCAGCTACCACCTGACTGCTGCTGTGTTATTTGTTCCCTGTCAACATGACTCGCCCTGTTTTCTTTGCAGGTTGTGCTACAACAGTGCTAGTGACCGGCGCTGGGATCGGAGAGATGGTACTACAGCTACTGGTGGGGTCGGTAAGTGTGGACTAAGTCCAGGCATGCCAAAACCAGCCTGGMACAGGCAAGATCTTTTATTCCCCTATGTGGCCAGCTTCTGGAGCTACCCACCAAAATAAAGCTGGTATTAATGTCACCAGAAGCAAGTTAAATGAGTGCTATGACATGTTCCTCTTTCTTTTTCCCCTTCTCTAACTGCAGATCATACATGAGCAGGGCAGCTACAGTTTCCTGGTCTGTGGGATGATCTTTGGAGGCTTGGCCTTTACCTTCTACGCCTTCCTCTTATTCTTCCACAGGATGTACCCCAAGCCCTCGTCAGGTGAGAAAGCGCCAGCATTCAGCTCTGCTCTATAATGAGAGGCAGAGTGCCACAGGCATCAATACCTAACCAGCGTGCAGCACTTCAGCAAAATGCTAGGAAATGTTTATTTTACTTCTGCTTCCTGTCCCCTCTTCCTGCTTTGACTTGCCCACAAAAGCCTTGGCAGCCACAGCTCTGGATTGTGGGTTTTTTTTTTTTTTTGCATTAGAGATGTGAGGGAAAACTAGGAATGTTCTGTGGACCACAGAAGAGCCGCAACCCAAAGAGGATGGTAGCTGTGAAAGCACCTCTGTGCACTGGCTACTGCAGGGCTAGTAAAAGGAAAGGGTTAAGTCCTGCTAGTGGAGGATTCCACAAGTTTCCTAAGGCTGCTCATTTTCCAAAATCCAGGAAGATCTTGGGTTTCCCCTCCAAAACAGTTTCCAATAAGGGCATCACTGACAAAGGATCCCTCTTACCTATTGCCTCAGACGAGTTGCTTTTATCTAAGCACTTTTTACAAAAGCAGCAGGGTTTGACAGCCAAACAGCTTGTCCAGGTTGGGGAGCTGGAGGCCCTTCTCTCAGCTGATGAAGCTGMTGCTAATGCAGGAGGTGACAGAGCAGCAACAGCCCCTGTTAAGAGAGCATATGCATTTAAATCACCTAATTAGTGCATTCAGAAGTGTCTTCATGTCCCTTTTGCAGATCTGGATGCCACCTCACCCGACAAGCCAGCAGTAACAGAGGACAATGGACTTTATCAGCGCTAAGAAAACAGTGGACAAGCCCTAGACAAGCAATAAAACAACACACAATTAAGCGTTAGCATTGAGGATGATTTCACRTTTTATGACTGAATCGAGCAAGTTCTCTGCAATCAGACGCACATTAGATTGGAATAAGTCAGAATCGAGAAATTGCCCTAAAACACTGTGTCGAGACAAGCACAAGCTGCCCATGTCACACATGCCAAGAAGAAGACGGGAAACAGCAGCCTGGCCCTGTATGTAAAAGGCTGATACAGCAGGTAGGATGGAGAAGAGTGACTGCTTTGTACCAAATCAGAGAACAGGTGGGGTGGAGGGGTCTCTCTGTTCCATTTATTACATTTTAATTACCTCTTGGCTTAGTCAAGGAACTTAACTTTTTCTTTGGGTCTACAGGAGCCTTTCTGATTTACAGAACAGAACTGGTTTTGAATTCATTTTCGTGCAACACTGGGGTACCTAGGTGAGCTCCGTGCATCTTTCCAAAGGGGGAAAAAATGACATTCCTCTCAAACCACCACGTGCACAGTGGTAGCAGGCTCTATCCATGTTTGCACACTTGATAATTCTTGTATATTTACACAGCATCAGACATGTTCACCGAGACGCTGTCTTACTCAGCATGCTAGGGCCTCTTGATTATTAAAATCATTAAGCTTGTAGAGTCAACAATGAATTGTGGTGGTTTGTTTTGCTTTAAGTCATTAGTTTAGCTGCTACACTGCAGTGTTTAATAGGGCGGTTCTATTTCTAGCTTCCAGTTGAAGCTTAAACAGAAGTATTGGGGAGCCAGCCTCCAGCTGCTTAATCTGTGCAATACTTATTGTTAATAACAGGTGCCTTCTGTAAGGTACTTTTTATACCCCACGCATGACCTGTTACAAGCTATGAAGAAAGGACTGGCTTTAGAAGAGCATAAAGCTGCATACATCTATTTCTTCAGTGAGTGATTGGACATGTATTTTTGCTTTAACTGCTGTACGTGGATGTACATATGTATGTGTGTATATAAAGCAGTGTTTAATTAAAGATGATTGATTGCTAGATTTCAGCATGACTGGACTCGGGTAACTTAAGGCCTTTCTGGGACAGGATTCTCAGCTACACCTTAAGCAGCTGAAATGTTCATAATGAMTATAGCTCACTCTGAGAGCTGTTTAATTTAAAGTGGTTTTAGAATTTTCATTTTTTCACCAAGCATTAGTGCTTCCAAAAAACACCTTCGTGTGCACAATTCCTTTCAGAAGAACTGAAGTATTGATTTGACTTCATATGCCAGCCAAAGCAGGGAGAAAGTGTTAAATGCACCTGAGTTTAGGGGCTGTCTCCTAAATGTTCTTCTCATACCTTGTATCCAGTGCAACAGGAGCTGCAATTCCTCTCTAGCACCACYGGATGCCACTGTTAATTCTGCTGGAGATGGCTGGGATGAGAAGAGCGGTGCTGAAAATGCCATTTGTAGCAGAAAATAGAATCTGTCGTTAATAGAGCTCTATGAGAGCCCTGTCTCCACCCCTGTCCACAGGAAATCAGCATGAAACCATAACTCATGTWTACTTTGAAAGAAGTCAACTCAGACAGATTACATATACGTCAGTACAGAGGGTGGCAGAAGCAAACACAAGTCTTGTCCACCTTGCAAGGTTAAGACAGGACCTGGCTCAATGCTGGTGCCAGAACAGAGTTTCTCTATTGTCAAAGTGTGCTTGATAATGCAATTCTCCGTTTTAGCAGCAGCATTTCATAGGCTGGAGCAATTTGCCAAGGAAAATCTTAATCCAACAGTACCTGATCCATGGAAAAAAGCCTGTGCAGTAGCTCCCAAGCTTGCAGCAGCACCTCCAGCGCTGTCTCCATCCGGCACAGGGGCTGGAGCACGGGCCTCTAGGAACAGACAGGTTAGCATGAGCCTTATCACAGAGCTCGCTGCCCTGCACCTCTAACTTCCCCAGCAAAAACAGGCAAAAAGATGCGTAACTTTGTTAAAAATATTTATTTAAAAAAATACAATTGTTTTGCATGTCTGGTTGCACATAACTATTAACATATGATTGACTTGAATAATTTGCTACAATGCTTTTTTAAAGCCAGCTTGCATTATACAAAGCAAATCCCTCTGTCAGTTCTTACATAAAATAGTTTTCTTTAACTATTCCCACCCCTTTTTTAAAAAAGATTGCAATACATTGTTTTTTTTTTTTTTTGCACAAAAAATTGAAGCAATAGAAAAGTCACCTGATTTCTCAGGAAAGACCTTCATTATGTTTGAGTAACAACTGCCAAAAATGCCACTCTTTGAAAAGAGCATTTCATACTCTGAAGTGTCATTACAGTGCACCTCATCCAAAGTAAGCTTGGTAGCTTAGAACTTTGCCCTGCAAATTGTTGCCACACCTGAAATGCATTCAAATAACTGCATATTTGCTATAGTAAAGCTGATTTTTTTTCTTTTTTTTTTTTTTTTTTCAATATGCTATCAACATGCTGAAGGTCTTCCTAATATGTCACCTTGGAAGGTTAAATAAAAGCAAATTGAGTAACACCGAACAATTACGGAAAAACTTTGGCTATTTATGTACTTGCATTACATACCAGCGTTTTTTTAAACACAAGGGCATTAAGATACTCTGTATTATAGGTGTGTGCTCCAAAAACAAGATGTTAGGCTGAGAAGCTACTCTATCCCAGGCAGTGCACCAGCAAGGTCTAAGATTAGGGCTGTTTCTAAAAGACCATGTCTAGAATAAATCTCCAGTGTAGGAAGTCAGCAGACATTCTCTACCCCATACCAGAAATTTATTTCAGCTCTTGACTTGGCAGTATACATTAAATGCAATTCTGTTCTGGAAAGAGTGATTGAAAATGTTCTCTGCTGCCTTCAGTATAATTTTACAGAAAGGTCTGTTCAACTTACTTRCTGGAAAGTAAAACGGACTGTTGTTTCAGAGTTAAGGAGTAAGTTGACTGAAGTGATTGGTCTCAGTTCATCCTACATAAAGATGTCAGAGCTGCTGGAGGATTAAAAAAAGCCTGCAGACATCAGCTTAACTGAAAAATTCAATTGAGAGTAACAGGAAAAGCATCCAAAAGTCACTTTCCAAAACAGATGTGCACTTTTAAAAATAAAACAGAACAACAACTGCCCCATATTACCATTGCTGATTAGGTTGTTAAGTGCTCTATACCTTAATGTAAACTTCCCTGTCCTAAGTCTGGTGGGACATTAGACAAAAGCTGCAAGGAACAGGGGGTTAAATCCGATCCCTTGCAGGGCTCTGCTCCTGTTTCCAGCCCCTGGGCCCCGACACGAACCTGCCACCCCAAAACAGGCCCGCGAGTTCCCCAAGACAGGGGGTCCTGCTGGTCAATGATCCCTGTTGTTTCAGTTGTGCCTTAATTCCAGCTGTCCTAATATACGTTACAAAGAACAACCGATATTTGTATCCTTACTCTGCAAGTCACTAGAATTTGTCCATTTAGTCACCTCTATGATTAAGAATATATACTTCTCAGCTATAAAAACAGAGGGGGGAGGAGGGAGATAAGCATAAATGTGCTACTGTACTTATCACAAAACACTGTGACGTACATAAGGCCATCTGGTAACACTGCAACAGAATACAAACAAGATTTTTTTTAAAAGGGAGTTTCAGAATACAACTTTTTTTTTTTAAAAAACTACAATGAATAATCTCAACCCTGTTCACAGAGAATTAACATTAAAACTAGTACATCATATATATAAAACTGTGCAACTGAACAACAGCAGAACAAAAAAAAAAAAGAAAAAAAGAAAGGTCAACACAAGTCTCTAAAGCAGTTCCAAAGCCTGAAGAGTTAAGACATGCTAGCCAAAAAAACCACAACACATCTCAAGGAGCCTCGGGCAAACCCAGGTATTGTAACCCCCAGCACACACTAGGACCCATGCAGAGGCCGTCCACGAAGCCGTCCTGTGTTCATAGAATGAAGGAAAAAAGAAAATTAAAAAAAAATAAGAGTTTCCAGTTATTGGTGCAGCACTAGGGTGGTGCTGCTCTTGGGCTGGGCCGGGCTCCGACTCTCCTGCCCTGCTCTGCTCACAGTTCAAGCAGTGGCTCATGGCAAGAAGCAGCCCCCGGTTCCCAAAGGGTCAGAATTATCACGTTACAAAGCAAAAATGAAGAAGAAAGGACTTTTTTGAGATGAAAACCTTCTGCAATGCCTACCTAGAAGCACATGTTTGGGGAAAAAGAGAAAAAAAAAAMCRCCAAAATTTTTGTTCCATGAACATAAAACTAGTCAAAGATTAATTTAAGACACTTTTTTGGGGAAAGAAGTGGCATACAACAACGTCAAAGATGCATTTAAAAATAACCTTTGGCAAATAATTAGTCCACAAAGTGGTACAATGGATTGTACACCCCAACACCCCTGAACCCCCCCCAAAAACCCACAAGAACATGTGCAAAACATTCAAAAGTGGCAGCTGCATCCTGCATAGTGCAGTACCCGCCCCGGATACACGGTAGGCGCTGGCTGGCACTAGAACACGCTGAGCACAYGGGCTCACACGCGTGTGCAGCACACGCATGTGCGTATGACCGAGCTCACCCCACCTCCGTTAAGGGTATATATAAACCCCAAAGTTTTCAGCCATCAGAGGATGCTCTCTAGCACATCTATAGAATAGCTCCACAGTCAAAAATCTTCTACAAAAGTCTTTGGAGAGGGAGAGTAACTAAAAATCAGATCTAGTCAGTTCACTGTGGGTTTTTTTTTTTAGAATAATACATACAAAGCTTGCTACCCCAAAAGGGAAACACATTAGCATATACATTCAAGAGAAAACATAGGGCCCTGCCCTGCTTTCTTATCTTGCAAATCATATWTTTTTTTTTAATTAAAAAAAGTGTGGTCGTGGTCAGCAAAGCTGCGTCCTCTGAAAGGATGGACATTCTGCTGCAAACGTCCTTCCTTCTTTATTTGTTCTTTGCACAAAGGCAAAATGAGTGTAAAAGTTTAGGCTCCACTAGCCCCCCCAAAGCCAAAATTTACCCTTGCTGCTTTAGGTGGCCTCAAGAGACGGAACGAGGCAGAGGCTGCAGCACTTGGCAGTTCCACTATTGCATCCTTAGAGCTAAGAGCACGCTGCAGAGAAAGGGGTTGGGTTTATTCCACTAAAATATTTCCTCCTGCAGGAGCACCTTTTATAAAAGGCTGCTATGGTGTCAGTAACTGCTCGAACCAAGTGGGAGGCTTTCAGGCTGAGAACTGCCTAAACCAACCAGCACTGCAGTTTACATTTTAAGCTGCGTCTGCCAACCCCTGATTTCGGCAGATCAGCTGCAGCATTTCACGTGTTCATCACTACTCMACTCGGTGGGATGGCCAAAGGCTTCCCCATTAAGCACATTTGCTAATACTGTTCAGGCTAGAGAGCAGCCATTGCCATTTACTGTTTAATTGAATTCAATTACACCATTAAAATTCCTGTTTAGGCAAGACATACTTGACCTCGTTAAAAAAAACGCCCCAAATCAGCTTCAAAATGACGTGACTGCAATTCTAATGGATTATCAGCTGGCCTGCTGCGTGCACCGTCCTGTGGGGCTCAGGCTCTTTGCTATACCATGCTCTATAATTAAGATAAAATAAACTATCCATACTGAAGACCTCAGAGGTCAGAGAGTACGTGCATTTCTTACACGTGAGAACTAAGGAACAAAACAGAATGGAATTGCTGTGGCCTCCCAAAACGCAAACAGCAAGTTTTAAAATACCTGTCAACTTCGACGCTGTTCCTGAACTGCTGCTGTAGCATTTCCATTGCTGACAATGCCAAGATCACCTCTTGATACAACACTGAGATGCACCTTGTGAACAAGTATGCATTAAAAAAGGAAGAAGTTAAATTGTGTAACAGAACATGAGCACATAAAAAAAATTATATATGCTATAAAACAGGAGCAAAACCTAAAAGGGTATAGGAATCAAGCATGGAGAGCCCGCAGATTGTCAGAAYTGTAGGATTCTGCTAGAAAAATGCTACAGAAGTGGATCAGAACTCTGCATTTCAGTTCACCTGAGAAACTGCATCAATGGGATAGTCTGGTTCTTTGCACCGAGCTCAATTTGCAAGAGTTCTTGCATCAAAGCTGAAACCAGGCGGGAGCCTTCCTACGTTAGATGGCTGCATTTTTAAAAGCTGCGTAAATGGATATACACCCAGAAGCGGCCTTCACGGGGTTAAAATGAACACTATACAAAATAAAACCAACCCATTTGCTAGATATCTGAACTTGAAAATATATCGAAAGGTGAAATTATCCTAGACAAACCACCGAACAAAGTCTTTAAGAGCATAACTCACGTGCCACTGCATGGAGAGTGACGTCTCCAGACCCAAAGTGAATACAAAGAATGCTCAAATTCAAGGAATTTCTGTATCTCCTGACCTACTGCAACAGGCAACTTCAGGGTGCCAAAGCACAGGAAAACATTCAGCAGACACCGCTGAAGACCAGTCTTCTGAAACAAGGGTCCAGGCTTAGCTGAGGGGAGGGAAAAGACTTCCCTCCGTCATCCCCATTGCTAGGTTTACATTCCCTGGAAACAGGTAGAGRCAAAACAAGCTATGGTTTTATAACCATAGGTTTTTAGTAACTCATTTCTTCCTTTCATGGGTGGCCTTTGCTAGCAGCATGCGTTGCTAGTGGCGCCCTGCAGGTCAGGAGCTGAAGGAAAGCCAGACGTGGCACAGGGGGCAAGAGCAGCACAAGGTTTTTGGCCCCGTGCTACTATCACAAAGCAGCAGCAACAGGGAAAAGAGGCTTCCAGAAGCAGGACAGATGTGCAGCTTCGTGCTCATCCAGGCTAATTCTATCAGCTGTGCATTAACCATTGCAATGCAAAAACACATGAGCATTTGAGAACAGCTACGTCAGCAACGTGAATTTTAATATAATAAAATGTTTCGGTAATGCTGCACTATTAATTGCTTTAAACCAACATGGTATAATACTCCTATACAAACAGCCTACACGGCAACTAAAAAAGTCTGTATTAACCCCTACCTTCCCTATGCTGTATTAAAAAACAAGCTGCAACAAGCTGCAAAATACTCCGAACGGAGCTGGATTTGCTAACCCTGCTCCAAGGAATGCAGAACGGCGCTGTGCTCCGTCGGGAATGCGCCGATTCCAAAACGCTGGCAGTTGGGTACTGGTTAAATGTGCGTTTAATGAGATGGCATCACCCTAAGCAACCTGGAGAAAAGGGGAGCAAGCATGTCAGCTCGCTTACCCCTCCAACCTGCTTTGCCAACTGCCTCCTGAGGTTATAATCCTATGTGGGGCTTTTATTTTCCTAGGCAAGTGCTTAAGAAACAAAAATAATCACCTTGCAGTGCTACCTGTCAGGAGGTTGGGCATTATCGGATTGAAACCAACACATCCAGGCTGCATTTATTTCCATATTAATTTCCTCTGAAGAAGGTATTCCTAAAGAAAAGATGAACGTGCCTCTCATCAGCCACCTATGGCAGTGCAATCTTAGGAAAATCCTTGGAGAAGAAGAGCATGACACGAGGCCAAGCCAAACTGAAAAGCTACATCAGCATTTGGTTCTCTTGCATACCTATACTCAAAGTGATACAGTCTACAAAACCATTAAGTGCACGTGTGCACATCCACAACTTTTAAGCAAATAAACGTGGCTTTTCTCCAAAGGGTACAAGGAAAGGGAAGCAATTAAATTGCAAGTCTTTAGTGCTCATTAATTATTTTTAAATTCTAATCCTAGTCTGCGATGTTGCTGTCGGGTCCACACACTCAGTGGGAATAAAATCGGCCAACCTAACACAACCATTGAAAGTGCCGCTATTTATATAGAGCTATATATAATTTCTAGAGCACACTCATCAACTCTCATGCAAACCAGAAAATTCCAATGCCTGCTCTTAATCATGACCTGCAGCTTTCTTCCTGCATTAAGAAAATAAAAAAAAAAAAGTCAATATTGCACATTGTCATTTAAGAGCCACCGGCACGGGAACTGTATCCTCTCTGATTAAAACAGGCATCGGGATTATGCCTCGGACTTAAGCCAGCGGGAAGACAGTTCATTACATGAGCTAACTCCCTGCAGCCTCTGCCTAGAGCCAGGCACGTGCTTTTCTCCAGCCTCCCTCGGGACACGGGGCTTTCTGCGTGAACGGTGCCCTCAAGTGACACCGTTGCGCCCAGCCATCGAGCCCAAAAACGCACCCTTTGGTTGGTATATGTCACTGCTAGAATACAGAGCGGTAAATTGAGGGCATCGCCACACATGAGCATTAAAGTGAATCCAGAATCTGCAGGAGTGGCAGAGGGAAAACTCCCAAAAGTCGAGCTCACCATGGACCTGTGGGATGGGTGGACCAGAGAGAAGCACAACGCTGTAACAGTGCAACGCCAGCTCTCCCTGCTCCGAGGGCACAACCTTGCTCTGCTCAATAAACCTCAGTCTAAGACAGGAYGTCAAAGCAAAGAGATGGTCGCTGGTTTCTAGTGGACATTTTATGCCAAAGATTATCCTGCACCACCAGCTCCACGTACGGATGTGAGTAGCAAACAGAAGCTGCTGCCTGACAGCAGATGGCTACAGCGGAAGGACACACGGCCCAGTGCCAACAGACCACGACAGCCACTCTCCAAGGGCTGGGAGAAGAGAAACCCTTCTCTTTCATTCCTCAGTTCTCTTAAAAGGCCTCCTGAGGTTCTAAAAATCTATGTACAAACTTAATTTCGTCAGTGTTTCAAATGGCTCTGGAAACTAAACTCGTACTAACCCATACACATAAAGCCACCAAGAAAAATAAGCAAGCACAAATTTACAGTAAGGTTGATATAGTGTGACACCTCTCAACTATCTGTACACACTAGGCCTAACCTTTTCAGGGTCTCAGCTCCTGCTCAAATAACGAAAAGCAATAGATTTAAAGCAAAACTTGGGGGTAAGTGCTGGGAGAAAAGGAGCTTTTCCACTTCAAGTGTCTCAACTGTGGGAAASGAGCAGTAACGTTAATGCTCGGCTGTTAGTGTTCTCACCCACCGCTTGGGTCTGAAGCTCTAGCATCAGGCAGCAACCTCACCGAGTACAAACACACCCTCGATCCTCACGTAAAATCCATCGTGCTGCTAATTTGCTAGCAGTCAAATCACAGGCTTTCTAACAGATTGCTGTCAAAAGAAATGYTTGGACTGGAGCATTCAATCGATCCGAGAAGTGAAAGGAACCAACCCCGCCATCCGCTTGTGTCCTTGCCGAAGGGAGGGCAGGGAAGCCTCCAGCCCCTTTCTTGGAGAGGTTTGCATGCAATGCTGTTCAAAAACAAATGTCTGTATCTCAGTAACACCGTCGCTGAGTTTTTTCCTTGAAAATTGCTCCCTGCAAAAAGACAAGAGGTTTTTACAGCAGATAAGACGCGAGCTGTTTCGTTGCTGCCCAAGTTTCTCAGGCCCCAAGGCAAAGCCGAGTGCTCACACCCCTTTCCCCAGCATTTCCTGGAATGTCAGCTTCAATCACACTTAGATTTCTTCTTGCCAAGCACAGGAAGCAGAAGAACAGAGGGTTTTCCAAGAGTCGAAGAGAAAAGACTTCTCTGATACCTTTTACTGCAGTCAGTGCAGACTCAGCTACTGCAACACAAAGTGAAATTCCCTTTACCCATAGCGAAGTCTTCCAAACCAGGAGGGAAGAGAAGAGACTGGAGCTCTGGGCTCCTATTAAGGCGTTTGCATATACATTCCCGATTTGGGTCTTCAGAACAGGGAATTTCGCAAAAAAAAAAAAGGCATTTTACAATTGGGAATGGCAGAAACTATGACTGTTGATAATCTCTGTGGAATTATAAATTGCTCATTTAAAAAAACACGGTTAAATATAAGTGTCATAATCTTTCCCTTGCTCGCCAATATGTCCTTTCCATGAGTTCGTGTGCTATGTCTTCTGAAGATCTGGGGAAAATGGCCCAGGGGTAGAGGGTCCATCCAGTCCAGACAGAGTAAACGGCCCATGACTGTTCAGCACTGATGGAAACTAAGAGACAAAAGAAATGATTAACAAAAAGGGCATTTTAATTTACTGTTCCTCTCATACCTGTGTCTATAAAAGCTCCCCCACAACAAAAGACCAAAATGCTTTCAAGGAATCTCCCGGGCTTCCTCCAGTGATGGACTGTTGAAGTGCCAGGGTGTCACCGACTGTAGTGACAGCCGATCCGGCTGTAGTGCCGAGTACTGCTGTGCACAGAGAGGATCAGAGTCTGCAACCCCTGCACTCACCATGGGCTATATCCTGAACTAGTTTGATTCCTACTTGGCGATTTTAATACCTGTTCTCGGAAACACCGCTTTTAAATTGTTCCTCGATTCCTTATCAGCTATTACAGAGAAAGAGATCCCGTGGATTTTCAGACCTCCTTGTTAAACCCCTGTTCTGACTGTACATATAAGCTACTSCCTTCATCTCCATGGAGATGACAGATATAAACCCAAAAGACAATTTAAATTTCATCCTCTAAGCATTATCAGGCAGTATATACAGSTATTCTAGCTCCAAAGGGGAAGGARAAGCATCACCAATTACAACTTGAGGAMCTTAAAAACATGCATTACTTAAATGAAAATATGCATCAAAAACCATGAAGCTGAGAATTTCCAAACAGCAGAAGAGAGCAAACTATGAAGATCATGCAAAACTGTGCTACATGTTGCTACAGCAATCACACAGATGCAAAATCTCCCTCCCATTAATAGCAGTGAGACTTAATTAATGTGCTTCAGCAGAAGAAGCTGTAACAAACTGTTACAGGACTCCGTGGAGAGCATCAAATTCCATTTCTGGTAAAGTCTCAACCAAGAATGGGACAGGAAGGCTTTTTTTTTTTTTTTTTCAGGAGGGACAGACCTAAAAAAATTCCTTCTCTAATTCCAACTACCATTGGAACTACCATTGGAATACAACTACCATTAATTTAAGTGTGTGGCCCTGTGGCAGGGCCTGGCTGAGCGTGGCTTACCTGGAAGAGGGTATTAGCACCTTGCAACCTGGCAGGACTGAGAGGAGCAACCGGGCTCAGAGTACTCCAGAAGTGAATGCTGGAGAGCAAGGGGCTGGGCGTCAGCAGGATGGGAGTCTGCAAGGGAACAAAGAAGGTCAGCCACAAGTTAAACCTCCTGCATATGTAAATCCAGGCACAATAATCCAGCTCCTACAGCTGCATAGGGCTAGATCCGAGCCGTTCCTCCCTCCAAGCCCACAGGAGCACCAATCCTCCTGCCTCCCTTCCCCGTTCTTAGCAATTGGCCCCATTTTCCCAGCAGCTGCCAATTCCTGCTGCAACTTACAGCAAACCAGGCGCAGGCAATTCAGTGTGCAACACCTGTAAGAGGTTTGGGAAAACTCCATTTATGAGTTTAAAATTAGCAGGCACTGGGCGTACAGGTGACCTGAGTGACACCAAATGTCAGCTACAACTAAAGAAAGTTGCATCCAACCTCTGCAACCACTGGATTTTCCAGGTTCCCCTGCCAAATACTCTAAAGGGTGCCAAAAAAGTAGCTACGCTTGAGGTTTTTTCCTGTCTTTAGCTGTTTTGGTCTTCAATCAGCAGTTTCCCTACGGTTTCCTTCCAACTGCAGCTTATTAAAGGAAAGAGATTAAATATATACAGAACGATATACCAGCCTAGCCCTATGCGTTTCTCTTCCAAATCTCCCATGAGGAACGAAAGCCTTTCCTTTCCACACAGTGATAACACCCCAGTTAGGCAGCCATCCACATGACTTTTAGTCACAACACTCTGTCTTAAGCAAATAGCTACTAAATCAAATTAAAAACCACCGTTAAAAGAAACCTCAGTGGCTCTCTGTTTATTTTTAAACCATTTTCACAATCAGCCTGAAAGACAGGGAAAGATTTTAGGATTTTTAAAGAAATTCCTTTCAATCTGGGAAGCTTTACCAGGAAGATCCTGGTGCTGGTTTGGGGCGTGCTCCCCATATGCTAAGCTTGYACAGGCACGTAAAGGTGAAACGTATAGGCACACTTTAGGGTTAAAGTTAATGTTGATTACAAATGTTTTGGAACAACCTTCTGTTTTACAGAAAAAGGCCGTGATACCCTGATACATCCTGATTTCAGAACTCCAAATATAATCTACTGGCTATTTTTCCACTTCTACTCTACTGTTTTTAAATATAACCACTATTATTACCTAATAAAAAAGGAAGGTTAAGAAGGGGATTAGGTTACCTGAGAGAAAAGTGCTGGAGTAAGAGAAGCAGTTGGGAGAGAAGGGCTCAGTATCCCCAGCGGGCTTGGATCACTGCCTGTAATGACCAGAGTGGGAGCCAACTCCAGCCCTTTGGGTTTTTTAGATCTGGAGAGGTGATTGGCAAATTCCTTCTCCAGCACGGAGGAATCCTGCTCTTTGGGCTCTGGGGATTGGTGCTGAAGGCTCTGAGCCTGTTCCAGCTGCTGAGAAGCCACTGACTCTATGTCCGTGTCAATGTCCAGGTCAGGGTTAGAGCTCAAGGGTGGCGAAGGAGGTGTAGAAGGAACTTGCAGAGYGGGAGAAACCGAGGACACGGGGGGAGTTGGGGTGAAGCTGGTGGTTAAGTTTGGCAAAGGTGCTGGAGCTTCGGGGACAGTTAACTTGGGTAAAACAAGAGTCTCCAAGGTCTGCAGAGCTTCTTCTGATGCCACTGGAAGAGAGGATGCAGCTGAAGTGGCAGAAGCAGCTGAAGTGATGGAGACTGTTGAAGTGGCAGAGACCAGGGGGAMAGACGAAGGCTTCTTGGAGGGCATGGTTACAAACTTGATGACGGATGGGGTCGGGTCCTGAGCGGGTTTCTTCTCCACCAGTTTCTCAGCTGGATTCTCAATCTTGATGGACCTGAAGAGTTTCACGCTGGAAGAGTTCAGGGAGTTGAGAGTGAAAGAGGAGTACAAGCCTGAGTGGATGTAGTCATTGCGGCTGGAGGATTTCCCACAGGACTGGGACTTCTCCTTCCCACAGTTTTCCACGTCCTTTGGAGCGCTGCTGACTTCTGCAAAACCAGCCAATTCAGGGTCTCCTTCTATACGGCCCACCACGAGCGGGTCCATGTTTAAAATCTCCGGATAGGAAACAAACTTGTACACAAACTTCTTACCATTCACTTTTTTAATGATATTCTGTGGGTAAGAAGATAAATATTTTTATTCCTCCTGCAGCTTAATTTTCACGATATAAACATTGCCTAAAATAGACCAAGGAACTAGATGGCCAGATAGCCTGTACCCTTTAATCAAAAACCACATTTTTTTTTTTTTTAACATACACTGGATTCTTGAAGCAGGTGAGTTTAACTTGACCTTAAATATACAAATGAGTCTTAAAGCTGAAAAACAATTCTGTTTAAAATATTTTCAAAGATCACATAAAAAGCAAAACACATTCCATTTCTTGCATCCAAGTCACTCATCTAGGTACAATAAATATAATCTTACTTACACGCAAGAGAACCTGCAGGATTAAGGCTTACAGGTCTGCTGGACTGAGGCCTAATCAGATCAATCCAACCCTATTCTTAATGAAACGACACTAAAAGAAAACAAATAGCTGTGCCAGTCAGCAAAATGTAGGCTAATCGGCAATTTCAAAGCCGCACGGAGCACCTATCAAACCTCCTTTGTCCTTAACTGATATGTGACATGCAATTTCAACTAAAAAGATTCTTACTTGTTGCACAATTGTTATCACTACAACTTCTCCATACAAAGTCAGATTAAAGACACTCTGCTCCCCCATAATGAACCCCAAGCAGCACTACCACCTGCTACAAGCTGACAGCTTCCTCGGAAACCGTGTTTTGTTTTCTTATCTCGCACACCCACACAGTAACAGTTGTGGGATAAACGGCTCCAGGAGAGGCTATTGAAACGAAGGTAACAATCCCACTTTGTAATTCCAGTTCAGCTCCTCGACGTTACCTGGACGYTAACGAAAGGCTCACACAAGTTGTCAGAAGACACTTGCTAAACAAGAGAAGTGTCTCGCTCAGCTTGGCCAAATCCACTACCCACAGTATAGGTGCAYGTCTGAATACAATGAGGAAATGCAGAAGATTTTGGGGCTGCCTCCCTGGGAATCCATATTTTGAGAGCCTTTTTGCAGAGCCAGTTACAGTAAAGATCTCAAGATGGTGCAATATTGACCATTTTGATTTTATTTTCTTACTTGTGCTGGCAAGTTCAGGATTTTAACCCTTGCAAGGCCACGTACATTTGGAAAGGGAGTAGAAGAGAGATTATTATTCACAGGAAGGCTCCTGTTAGCAAAGACATAAAGAAAAAGAGGCAACATTTTGCAGAAAGTTACCTAGAGCCTTATAAAACTCTGGCTGGGCAGGAACCAGGTGCAAATTAAGCTGAACTAAACATAACAAAACGTAAACCAGCACACCTCACCGAAGCCTGGGGGACAGAAGTGACACCTATCTCCTTGAGGAGAATGGAAAAGGAAGCAAAGCTCATTATGCAGAAGCTGGTAAGAGGGATAAGGCTTGGAGGTGGATTTATGGGCTCGGTTACCTTCACGTAATAGTATCTGAGAGCACGGCTGAGTTTATCATAGTTCATACTGGGCTTGTTCTTGCGGATTCCCCAGAGTCTGGCCACCTCCTCTGCCTGCAGCAGCTTGAACTCCCCGTCGTTGGAGGTCCAACAGATGATGTTCTTGTTCTGAGGCTCTTGGAGGAGCTGGAGGAGGAACTGCCACAGGGTGATAGCACTGTCCATAGCAGGAAGCTGCAATTCAGAAAGGCAGATAAGAAGCAACGCGTTAGGAATTGCACATTTTCTTCGTCTCCCTAGAAGGTGCTAAGGGAGCAGCGATGTTATTTCCAAAGGCAGCAGGAGTAAAAATTATTAGTCACCAGTCGTGAAAGATGTTCCCTGCAGAACAGGGAGGCTGAGAGCCAACTGCTGTCGTCTCCTCCCACATGTCAGTCCTTTTCACATAGGTTATATTTAGCCTCATTTAACTAAATCAGGTCACTTTGGGTAAGTTGCAATGAGTCACTATTCAAAAAAGCCAACTTCTAAGTTGCTCCATGTTCACCCATTCTGACTTGCGCTGCTTTATGAGAAACAGCTCAGGGGCACCTGCTTAAACCCAAACCCCACTCGCTGCCTCCTCATTTCCTTACCTGCACCCACCTCCACCATCAGTGTCTTTACAAGAAAATGAATAGCAGGCTGAAGAACTGTTTAAGCCATAGGCAGACCCAAACAGCAAGAATACAATCAATTTTTCCTTCAATATTCATATTTCTACTGCCTCTTTATAAGAGGTCCTCTCAACCCACTGTATCAACCTCCAGTCTCCTCTTATTCAAATAGTGGTTTTTGGACTTCATCCTTGCTTTTTCTAAGAGAATATGTAAGAAAGTTTAACAAAAAAAAAATCTATTTCTGATCTATTTCTCACGAGAGATATTTGTTCCCCAATCACATCTGACTGCATAAGACACTACCACAGTGGATGTTTTTTGGTAGAACAGTTAAGTGATTTTGTCTGCACAACAAGAGTTGTATAAGCTGCAGTGTGATTTAAATCAAGTTATATTAATGCAATGTCCTACATGGATCATCTTATTCCAGAACAGAATGCCTTCTCTCACTATAATTGAAACTCCTTCCGATGAAATAAAAGCAGAATCAGCCACTTTGCAGTAGGAACCTTCACACTCATGACATTCTGGTACACGCTAGATCCTTCCCATAGAGACCAAACTCAACAAAGGCAACCCTAAAGACTACAGGGGCTTCCACCCAGGTAGCCAAGAGGACCAAATGCTGCTCCCAAGCATCTTCTCCAAAGCAGACCCGCAAGGTAAGTTCAAGATTCAGGCAGCACTGCCAGTTYGTACTTTGTTCCCCAAGCCTTTTATTTCAATCCCATTACTGCCCAGCACTTATCCACCAGAAGACAGCCCTATATAAGGAAGAGAACAGTCTACGTGTCAGAGCTTCAGAATCTAGTCGGCCCTGTAAAAGGATTACTGCTGCTGACAGTGTACACAGGAGGCCACATTCTTTTTTAAATAAGGTGCCCTAGGGCAGGTACTTTTTGCAGGCAGAGCCCAGTTCTTTCAAGCTATTTTTGCRAATACCTGCCTAATGGCACCTACGTGACTGCAGCGGGCTGCTGCATTGATCAAGCCCGTTAAATTGCTGCAATTAGAAGGAACAATCTCAAAATGAAGGACACCCACTCCACCGCGTTACACTGGCCTAAGGTGCTTTCCTGGTTAATTAYGGCACGCGCGCAGCTCCGCGCTTGCCCAAATTAATTGCTCAGTACTCTAAGAAAACAGCAGCTGCTGAGCTCGGGCCTGGAGACTCCTCTTGCGGCACTGGGATTGTGCAGCCCCATGGGAAAACTGCAGGGCTTTTGAGGCAGGGAATTGAGTTAAAACCTTTCCGGGACTTCTCCGACGTGTGCTGCCCAGGTGCGGGGAGGACCACGCACGCTGCGGGGCATCCTCATCCATCAGGATGCTGCCCTCGCCACTGGGCAAGCGCAGGGAGCTGATTCTGCTGCTCTGCAGAGCTGTCAGAGCTGCCGTGGGTGCTACAGGAGAGGAAACCGCGTGGCGAAGCCGAGTGATTATTCCCACGCTGCATTTATATACGGCAGCTTCAGAACCCCCCCGCGGCGCCGCATGCTGCAATGGGAGGCAGGCGCACAGGATTAGATCAGTTGAAAACCTGGAGAGCAGCAAAGCCTTTGTTTTTCCTAGAGATCCGTGCAGCTCTCGTCCCAGAATTTAAACGCTGTCACTCCACAAGAATGTTTCCCCTTAGCAAGAGGCACCTCAGCATTGTCAAGTCAAAGCTCTCCAACCTCTACTGCGGACAAGTCCCCGTGCCTACGTTCTGGCTATCCCTGCACCAAGTTAGGGATACCTGATGCTGCTCAGCAGTACCAAGTACAGCTGGAGCGGCTGAAGCTACTCAATAAATTACAGATTAAAATGAAAAGAAATAACCAACCCGTTCTTCACGAAGAGCTATGTTGTTCCAAGCAGTATTCACTAAAATAGTAGAGTGGTTCCTCCTTAATGAGTTTGGAGTGCCTGGATCTCTAAGACTGTAGCTCTCTGCCTGGAAGAAGGTTCCCAGYGGCTGACAGGACTCTACTGGGATGATCAAACTCCCAGTGGCGTTTCCAGAATGCAGAGGCTTTAGGGGTGTCATGATTCCTCCCATCATTTACACCAACTGCCCCTCAGCAGGATAAAGTCTCACACTGGACACGTTAACAACRGGAAAGAGAAATTCTGCTTAACTTGTTGCAAAACATGAGCAAAGAGCAGTGCTGAGCTGTTAAGATTCTGGTTACATTGACTACGAGGAGAATGGCTATTTCTTACAGTGAAAGATTTATTTATTGCACACATCTACAAGAAACAGCAGAGATACTTTGGGATAGCAAGGAAAACAAGGGAGTTCAGTCTTTCTGAAGATTATATACACATGTACAGACAAAAGGCCAGAAAACAACCAAAACTGGCCCAAATATATATATATATAAAATATACACATATATATAGGAACACAGGTGGATCTTGCTGCTGCTGAGTTCAGGAGCAATCTGTAACTGGGAATGAACAGTATGTATACGGCACGCAATGTTGTACTATGACTGAAGATCACTGCATTTAATGTTTTTATTTAGCGTGCTTGGGCATTGCATAAAAATGCATCAAAGAATCATTGCTTCTTGGGAAGCAGCAGGAAAAAAAAGCACATCCCGCACAAGATGTCAAATTAAAACCGGTACAGCCGAGGTGCAGCCACAGAAAAACACTCAGGAAAATATCTGTGTAACGTGCTAGAAGTCTGGGCCTTCTTCAGCACCTGGGGCAGGAAAAGGCCTTTCATGAGAAGACCTTGCGACCTCATGCAGAGCAATCTCTGCACCCTGCGTTTGTTATCCTGGTTTTGAGACTGCGTTTGGCAGCCCGTGTGGGGGGACCAGCTGTCTTGTGCTGGTAGCAGAGCCCTTTTAAGGGCCCACGTACTCCARTGTCCTCCTCTCTGCGCGAGTATGGAAGGATCGAGCAGATCCTCCAGGCCCTTCTGGCCCAACCTGCAGCCACAGCAAAAGCAACAGCAAAAAGCTGCTCCTCACAGAAGCTAAAAGAAACGAGGAGGAGGAGGAGAAGCCACAAGGCCTCTCCCGTTCCACGCCGACACGCCGTTACTTCTGTCATCCTTGCAAATAGCATTTCATCTGCTTCCAAATCCATGGTTCCCTTCAAAAAAAGGGCATCAATCTGCGAGCAAAGCTCCCTGTCAGCACAAAAAGCCCAGCACTTTGCCTGCTTTTTCCTCAAGATGAATATGCCAATAATTGCAGCACGCCGCTGAGAGCGATCCTTTTTTTGCTGAATTTTGTTTTTCTTACGAGAGCCTGCGGAGCAGGAGAAAGGTCCCACTTGAGAAGACAATGAAGGAATTAGAGGAGCAGGGCTGCCCTTTGGGAAAACGGCCTTTCCTCTTCTGCATCGCTCGAGTGTACGGAAAAAAACACTTGCTGGAGGCAGAGGGCAGTTATACTTTGTAATGAGTATGCTAAAATAGAGCACTATTATTGTCTTGAGATCTTCCCTGACGCCTACGGATGACCCCTTGAAGAACAGAGAGCGCCTGACAGCGCTTGGCTGCAGTATCCAAATACAAGCGCTGCAAACCCGGGCCTTCTCGTGCTGCTGCAGCTTTGCTCAAGGGCTCACAGAGCCCGGAGCTTGCAAAAACCCAGAGCACGAGATAGGCATCTCTGTCACAAAAAGCTTCGTGGATACAAAAAGCTTCTTTTGGACTGCAGAGCGTCGAGGCTCTGCACATCTTTTGCGGAAGGAAGTCGAACTCCTGCAAGGCAAATGGGAGAAACGGCTTCCCAAGCGGCACGTGGGAACRGCGACAACCTACAGCTGCTGTGCAAAGCACCCTGAGGCCTCCAGCCCTTTGAGGAGATGCAGAAAGGGACCCCTCAACGTGTCCCCCTAAGGCACGAGCCAACCAGCCCCAGAGGTGGAAAGCGGCAGGATCCCAGGGCTTCAGCCCTATCCCTCCGTGCAAGGTCTTCCAGGGGCTTCCTGCAGCCCTGGGAAGCGCCTGCGGTCTCTGTCACCTTTATTCCTCCTAACGGCCTCCAATGGCTTCTCCGGATGGCCTGGAAAAGCCCAGGCGGGTCTGTGAGCTCCTCRGGGCTCCACAGAGATGCAGGGATGGTGCAGGGCACAGGGAAGGGAAGGCTGTCACGTTGCTGGTACATGACGGGGGAACACGGCACAGCAAGCCCTCACTGGGACACTTCAGGCTGCCCAGATATTCACACAGAAGGGACATCTCAAAAGACAACTTTGCAAGCAGCAGAGAGCACCAGATGGTAGCACCACTGAAGACCCTGCTTGAGGACCGCCAGAAACAAACTCCCCTCCATGTACAAATACACCAACCTCAAAGCAAAAAACAACCCACCAAAAGGCAAGAGTCCTCCTTTCTTCCTAGAGTGCTTATTTTAAAATAAATGCTTCTGTTTTAAGCAGGTTGGGACCAGCAGCAATAACTTCGAGATGGGCTTGGGGCCTCATGCTTAAAGCTGCAAGTGAGACACGCAGCAGGGCACCAGATGAGCAAATCAGGTCTACAGGCAATTAGAAAAGCCTCAGTTGCTAGGACTTTATTGGGCTCGCACAGAACTATTCCTGGGGCTTTTAAATAGATTAAGAT